CTCTGGAAATGTTTAGAAGGTAGAGCACCTGCCAGCCCTAGAAAGTGTTTTCTACACTAGTGTCTGAGCCGTTTTTGGCTCCACCACGATTGACAACCAACTCTTTTTGCTGAAATAGTAGGCAGAAACCAGTGGCTAAAACAAGGACTTGATCATCTTTTCTCCGTCCAAAAAGTTGAATGCCCAACTCCAAGCCCCCTCACCCTGACCCGACAAGATGGTGGAGAGGTTAATCACGGTGACTCAGTCAACAAAGCGGCAGTAGGCCTTTACCCGTGCGCACCAGATGGTCAGCCTTATTTCAGATTCTGAAAACCCCCTTTTGGCCGCTGCGGGATTCGAACCTTGATCATCTTTTCTCTGAAATGGTAGGTTTTTACTTTTCAACACAAACATCGTGACCTAAGAATTTGTTGATCATCACACTACAAAAAAAACAGGCCAGTTGTCACGAAATTTGTCACGGTCAACAGTTCAAAAAATCCGTGACAAATTTTTTTTGTCACGAACTTTGTCACGGACAGATGCCGTGACATACCAGGCGTGACAAACTATTTGTCACGGATATCTGGTCGTGACAAATTTTGTCACGGATTAGTCACGGCATCGCTCCGTGAAAAAATGGCTCACCGGAGCAACGTCAGTTCTTATTTGTCACGGATTTATCCGTGATAAACGTTTTTTTATTTTTTTAAAAATTTCTGAAATAGGTTGGGCGGCTACGTCGAAATGTTTTGAATTCAAAATTTTAAATTTTTTTGATATTTTTTTTAAAAAATCCGCAATAGGCTAGGTGGGTAAGTTGAAAATTTTCAAAATTTTCACTTTGTCACGGAAAACATCTGTGACAAATATTTTTATTTAAAAAAAATAACGGTTTTATTCCGGTATAATTTTTATAAAATTTTAAAAAGTTTAAATTTTGTCACGACCAGAGTCCGTGACAAACATTTTAAATTTTTTTAAAAAATTAAAAGTATTTTCCCACACTTTGTAATAAAAATTCAGATTTAAAAATTCATTTAAATTTTTTATAATACTTAAACATTAATATAAAAAATTCATACAATCATAAAATTAATAAACATTATACAACAATAATCATTAATTGTTCATACAATAACAATAAAGTTCATACAATAAACTAATTATTACATGTTTGTAAAGTCATCATCATCATTTTCGTCGGGCTGTTCGGGCTGTTCAAGTTGCTTGCCGCCACAGGTGCTTTATCGGCTGCCTCCACGGCTTCCGCCACAACTGCCACCTCGGCTGACATGACCTCCGGGAGTTTGAATTGGTTGATCATAATATGAATACGGAAAAGTATTGGACAAAGTGCTATAATTGCCGAACCCCATACCACAACTCATACTGCCCATACCGCCCATATTGCTCATGAACGGAATTTGAGGGGTCATCTCAGGATGCTGAATGTGCTTGGGAGGGCGATAGGTGGTGTTGAAACATTCCATTTGGCGTTCGAACTCTGGCAACCTTTCTCTAGTTCTCCGATCTTCTTCCTCCCGTTCCGCCAACCTTTCTCTCAATCTTCGATCTTCTTCCTCCCGTTCCGCCAATTGTTTCTCAAGGCGGGCAACCCGTTCATCATACACCGGTTGAGAAGATGAACTAACTCCTTTGGAGTTCTGCAAGATCCGTACACCTTCAGAACCCGTAAACGGCACCCGGCCCTTGTAAACTCCGATGGCCGCTAAGATGGCAGCTTCATCTTGACTCTCATCAAGTTCGGCATCTGAGTCACCTTGCTCCTCGACTTTCTTCCCGCGCTCTTCCTCATACTTCCTCTACAAATTCAAAAATTTATTATAGTAGTCAAGATAAAAAAATCGGAATTTATGAATAATTGGATTTACGTTATTTACTTCAAGTTCGGAGAGGCAAGGTGACTGCGATGCATCACCACCCTTCGTCCAACAATGGGTGATGAGGGCCCATGGTGTCACCCTCTTTTTCTCGGATCCAGCCCCTTCCTACGCGGATTTCAATGTATTAAAAAAAGAAATATATATATATATATATATATATATATATATATATATATATAAGGGGATGTAATGGAAGTAATTTTCCTAAATTAGAGTTTATGAGATCTTTTTTATGTTGATCTTGGGGTTTGCGGCCTCTGTGCCATTGTGTCTCCTTGACTTTTTCGGAGTTCCGATTAGCCTTGCCGGATTGGCTTCTCTTCAAAAATTCAGGATCCATGACCCAATGTCGAACCAGTTTCTCCCAAACATCATCGCGAAGGAATCCCAACTTTTTACCATTATTCCGTGCAATCCTAAAAGTCGGTCTCAACCACCCCGAGATTCTGGAATTATATTCTTTGAGAATAGCTCGGTCTAGCAACGGATCCCATCGATTTTGGGCCTTCAATAAAAAATTGATATATGATTTGTTAAATTTAAGTTACTAAAATGTAAAAAAAAATCATTTATTTTTACCTTAAACATCCGCCACCAAAATTCACGGGTGGCCGCCGGAACCTCCCCATAAGTCGCCCAAGGCCCTTTGAAATGGCCAACAATAATATGCTTGATTCTTTTCAACACCTCATTATTACTTCAAAAAATTGATAATTGACAAACGTACATATTTATGACAATTTTTAGAAGTATTGATTACATTCGTTTAAATTAGAGAGAGTTAGAAATTAATTACCTATGAATCGATTGTGATGTCACCCAAAATGAATTGGGATTCTGGTGATCAGCTTCAGTTGGGGGGCATATGAGGGGCAAGATGAATCTCCATTTGAGGCTGATGCTTCGGCATGCGAGGTGCTTGCACCGCCGGCATCAGATTGTTGCGACGAAGGTGTTTGGACATGTCCCTCATCGTCATTGATATTATCATTGTTATCAATGTTCGCATTTGAGGGGCGATGTGAGTTCGAGCCACCACGGCGAGAAGAGGTTGAACGACGACGTTCGTGTTCACTCATCTAAAATGATTTAGGAATACTTTGAAATATTAGAGTGTTAATAATGGAAGTTTTATCTTTAAGAAGTTTTACTAGAATAGTGTATTTTTGTAAATAATATATAGAACATATTAAACTGTGTATGATTTTAATATGAGGGGGTCGAATTTTTTTTAAGTTAATTTTCTGAAACTTGGAAACAATACATTTTTTTATTAATTGCACAGCATGTTCAAAAGAGGCATTCTTATAACTCTGAAAAACTATGTATTAATTTTTTAAAAAAAAAGTGTTTAATTTTTTGTGTTTTATTTATGGAAAACAGTTTATTAATTTTTGGGATAAAACAGTTAATTTTTTTTGATGAAACAATTTATTATTTATGGTTTAATAAAACAGTTTGTTGTAAATTAATTTAGATAACAGTTTATTAATTTCGAAAAACAGTGAAAACAGTTTGTTATAGACTAAGTTTTGTGTGTTTATTTTACGGAAAACAGTTTATTAATTTTCATATTAATTTTACTATTATTTAAAATAACAGTTCGCATTCCTCTTTTTTCGCCATGTTTATCATACATCCAACTTCTATTTTGTCAATACATAATGTGTGAATATTATAATAAAAAAATAATTTAATATTGGTTAAATAGTATAAATTATAAACATTAACAATAATTTGTTATGTTTAATTTGTTCACTAGTTAAATACTTCTAGGAAATTTACATTAACTTAATTTTAGTAAACTTTAGTGAAATTAAATGTTCCTAGATACAATTTTAACTTGTATGCAATCAGTCGAATGAAACTACACTGCAATATATAAAAAAACTTGTCACAGATTTTGTCACGAATAAATCCGTGACAAACACTTTTTCGTACAAATATTTTTTTAATTTTGTCACGGCTTTTGTCACGGATCCGTCCGTGACAAAAGACCGGAAGTGAAAAAACGGTGGCCGGAGTAAATTGCCGGTGACCGGAGGAATGTTGTCACAGATAAGAAGCCGTGACAAATGGTTATCACGGCCTTTGTCACGGATGAATCCATGACAAACACTCTCCGTGACAAATCAGATTTGTCCGTGACAACTTTGTCACGGCTCGGATCCGTGACAAACTTCCATGACAAAACGGATGTTTTTTGTAGTGTCATCACCAAATTTGATTAAGATAAAGTTCATGTGTATATTTAAAGAATTTGTACATGTGTTTTGTTTTTTAACCATTTCTTGGGTGTGCCTGACTTAATGAATGGTGAGGGAACCTTATTAGAATTACATGTTAAGTTTCAATTATCAAAGGGTAACTCCACATTTTATAGCCAAGCTAGGAAAGGAGTAAAAGCCTTGCATAGTTTCAAATAGTGGTGGACTCGGGCCGGGCCAACCGGCCCGGAACCGGACCGGCCCGCTACTGTGCGGGCCCGGACCAGCCCGGTTTGTCGGTTAGGTCACGGTTCGGGCCACCCGGCCCGGTCATGTATCGGTTCGGGCCCGGGCTTATAATTTGGTGAACCGGCCCGGCCGGGCCGGGCCCGGTCCGGGCCTCAACGGTCACAAAAAAAAAAAAAATTTAAAAAATTTGAAGGCTCTACTAGCCGTTGGGAGACCTCCCAAACGGCTCTATAGCCGTTGGGAGCATAGGAGGGGGGGTCTGGGGGGTTAGGTATTCCTAGTCCCCCAAATAGTTGCCCAATTGTACAGTATCACATTGTGGGTCTCAAATTTAAGTTTTTGAGGGGCAGAGGTATTCCTACAAACATCCAGAAGTTGCTATAACACTCACTACCAATCTATTAGTGCAACTATACCAAGGATTATCATTTAATTTCCATTTCATAAACTTTGTCCTTAACTTCTTATACAGTTGTTGGTTCAAATTCTGCTACGTTTTGTTTACTTTTATTCTAAAGATATAGGATGGTGGAGTTAGGCAAGGTTAAAGCTTCATTAATGTCATTGAAAGAGAGTGATTTGGTTTTTAATAAAAGTAGAATTATGTGATTGATAATGAGATGATAAAGTAGAAATAAAGTAAAAATGAATTAGAGCCACACAAATGTTATTAAATATGGTACGAGGCAATAATAGAGAGACATCCAAAAATGAGATAATTATAAGAGGACGGAGGAAGTATAAAATAAGGACGAGTATATAGACCCCTGCTTTTATCCATTCTAAGGATGGAAATTGTGTATAAAATATTTCGTAGGTTCCTCCTGAGCAACGTGTCCTGCAAAATAGTCATTTCAGCTGTCCCAGTGATCTTTCATCGTTCTTTTACCTCTGAAGACTAATTTGTTTACACTAGTTGAATCTTTAAAAAAACTAAATGGTATTAGAATATAAACATCAGACTGAAATAGCTAAAACAGTTTATTTGGAGTATACTTGGAGCACTCATCCAGCAGCCTGGAGCAGTTATCAAGTGCAAGGTCGAACCATTTGTGCATTAAAGCGTCCTACAAAATGCAGTCGGCAATGATTAACAAACCTTAACTAGAATCGAGACAGCATAGAAGATTTGTGATGGAAGGGATGGAACAAGATATGCCTACCCCCAAGCTTTCAAAACAACTGCCCTTGTTTCTGCATCTTCTTAACTGCAGTTTTTACTCATGTTATAGCATATAGACACTTAGAAGCTCCTGGGGTAATCGGAAACAAGACCCTCTGCCACACTCCTTGCTCTTGCATGCCCAAAAAACTTGCTCACAATGGCCAGCCCGAATTCTATTGCAGTAGAAAGGCCTTGGCTTGTGATCAGCTTCCCATCAACAACTACCCGGGCACCTTCTATCACATCATCTACCTTGCTTATTACGGAAGGATGAGCAGTAGTTTTTTTGCCCTGTTTTTAAAATTGTTTAATAAAATACTCTAAGCAGAAAATTTCATTTTTGAAGCAGTTATACGTCCAATTTTCTTAAGTTTTGGGAATTCACCGTAAAAGGTTAACCGATAAGAGCAGTAACTCAAGATCTTACATATTGCTATTATAGGGACCCGAACACTCCTAATAAAAATATACTTCCGTCCTGAAAAGGTTCACACGTTGACTTTTCTTAGTCAATGATGACAAACTTTGGACAAGGATTTTTAATTATTATATATATGTAATTTATAAATTTTATACTTTTATGAAAATATTATGAATAAGGAACATTTTGATAAATCTTCCACTCATTATTCATTATTTATGAAATTAGCAACTACTACATATGAAATAAAATTGCAAAAGTATCGAGCGCCGCGGTCTCTGCGTAGCAGGTCTAGAGTTTGGTTTTTCCTTAGGAGATCTAAGGTTTAGTTCTTCTGGCCAGTGAATCCCCTTCACTTGTGTCCGGCGCTGGGATTGGATTTGAGGCAAATTAACAAGAATCCTTGCCCAAGCTTGACGACATCGAAGCCAGAGTTCGGCGATCGATTTCTTCGTGAGCAGGGTAGCAAGGGCATGGCAGCGATGAAGATGACCGCTAGCGGTGGATTTGCTACGAGCGTGGGACGAGGAGAGGTGCACGGATTTCGAGCAGGCCAGATGACGATTGACAATGGAGGATCAATTAGAGTGGTACCAAGGATACAACCTCCTCCTGAACCACCACCACCATGAGTTATACGAGGTGCTAGAGTCCGTGGAAGTTTTCCTATTAGTTATTTTTATTATGTCATTTGACTTCTTGTTATCATCTATGTTGTTAGGTTTGTCAGTTTGTTTGGGAATTCAGCCTTTTTTATGTCATTGAGTATGTTTGGATCTATGGGAACATAGATGGTTGTGTCAAGCCCGCTACATGGTTAGCGATTCGTGTTGCTCTTTCAGGGGTGATCGTCTCTAAGTCTGATCATAGAGTTTACAGTCGTAGTTGTTTGATTTTAGTTGGTGTCAGTTTTGTTTTTCCTTTAATTGATGTAATGATCTTGAAACTTATGATATGAAAGAAGGCTAGTTCACGATAAAAAAAGGAACATTTTGATATAATTTTCATATTCTAAATAATTTCTTATTAAAAAATATCATTGGTCAAAGTTGATTGTTATTGACCAAAAAAAGTCAATTTTGCAAACCATTTCGAGATGGTGGGAGTACTATGTATTATAATAGTGTACATAAGAAAGGGGTTTAGGCCCTGTAATAAAATAGCAGTTGGCTGGCCCGAATGGAAAAGAATAAATAGGAGTTGGGGCGTAGATTAAGGAGGCAGAAATTGGGAATGGGAACTCGGACTCCGGGAAAAATAGGCACTCTCGAACTTGCCTCTACTTCTTCTATGACGTTTCTTCCGTTGCTTTGTAATTTCCCAAGGATATCTGAGGATTTCTCAGAATTCCCTGATTGAATATACCTACTGTTTTTACTGTTTGGATGGATACTCTATCATGCTATCAATTCATATTTGGCATGTGTGAGAAGGCTTAACATGCCCCACAAGAAGGTTGGTATCTTTAGTCTCAGTCGTAAAGCATTTGAACAAAAAAAAGCCAGTAAGCAATTTCCCTTGCACCAAGTTTGAGAAGTTGAAATCACCTTGAGCAAGCCCTGTTTCTGCAGTAAAGTGGGCGAAGAAGAGCACATCGCACCAAATATTCTTCCGCCTAATTCTTGTTCCTTTAGCATCTTCTTCAGAGTCCTTGACCTTTGTAACCTTTCAACTCCAACATCCCCTCCCTGAAATGTAGGACTAATGAAACCTTTAATTGAGAGGAAGAGCTTATTAGATGACGTGAATTCTACTTACGCTTCTATACACACAAGAAAAAACAATAATAAATAAAAACTCAAACACTAGCCTCAAGAGAGTGATCAGGTACAGTGGAAAGTAATAGTTGTCCTAGGCTCCAAGCAAATAAGGGTCTGCTTGGAATCCAGAAATATGCTGGGGAATGAAAATGAGGAAAACATGCGGAACTTTTAGAAGGATAAACTGTTGAGAGCAGAAAATAAAAATCAACGGGGTAAACCGTTGCCCAGAGCCAAAAGGGTAAACTCCAATTTTATTCCAAGACGATCCAGAATGAATCCTAACAAGGGGTTTAAATACCCATCTACTAATTTCCAAACTAGGAAAGAAAATCCTAGAAATCCTAATCAACTCCAACTAGGAAATAGAATAAAAAAAGATCCTAATCAACTTCAAATAGGAAACAAATAATAGAAATCCCAATTAACTCCTAATAGGAAACAAATATTAGAAATCCTAATTAACTCCAAATAGGAAACAAATCACGAAAGTTAAAAAGAATAAATATTAATTAAGATGCCCGCAACCAGCCCACAAAAGTGGGCTCAAGCCCGTTCCCGCCTTCAGTAAACCCACGGGGGCTTCTGCCCCTCTTCTTCCAAGCCCAGATTCTGCTTCATATCATAAACTTTGGGGGGGGGGGGGGGGGGGGGGGCTTGGTTCAGTCTCAATAGATCAATTTTAAATATTTCTTCAAACTCAGTTTACTAATATATTTGTACTATATGCATAGTTTTTTCATCACAACATTATATATTATAACGATACAAATTGTACATATACATATATAAATAATTGTGTTTTAGTATATACGCTTTTTTGTTTTTCTAGTCTCTCTAAGTTTAAGGAAATCTCTATTTATAAAAAAATGTCACTAGACTCACTACTTACTAGCAACATTCTACTCCGGAATCCACTTCAGCATTTTCTTACTTTTTAGATACTAACAGTGGAGTTAAAGTTAAGTGAACATATGCTGAATTTCTAAAAAAAACTAATCAAGTTTTATTCCTTGGGATATTTCAAGGTAATCGATATAGATTACCTTGCCATTCAAAAAACATAACCTCTAAGGAGACAATTTGACTCCCTATTTGGCACACCAAACACAAACTGACTCATATATTTTCTTTGTAACTAAGGGAATCTAATCCCATGGTTGAGAGGTGGGATTTCAATTCCCTGCAAAACCATAAGTATTTTTTGTGGAAATGATTTCCATGGAATTTTCCTAATGAAATCCATGTGTAAAGGACGACAAACTTCATCTACATATCAAAGTAACTATATACTAAAGATCAACCAATAATAAACTTTATCACTTAGGAAGAAAGAAATGAACAAAAAAATTCTACTTCACTACATCTCTTGCACAAAACTGGTTTCTAAGGATTACCGGCAAGATAATCAAGTCATATGTTGACTCTGCAGCACAGTCGATCAACATGTCTGCCACAATCTTAATGCCGTTGGATGCCAATGTTACTGCAGATTTTTGTACCGAAGCTACCACCACATTGACCTTAGCACGCCTTAAAATATCTACAACTGTAACAACTTCAATCTCTTCACAGCCATTTGCAATTGGTATAAGAACCTGGTATGGTATATTGAGAAAATACTTGAGAGATGAAAATATCCAACAATCATAATGCTATGATTATGAAATGTGGAAAATGGCAGTGAAAGGAAAACACTGGAAAAATTGACATGTGGGAACACCATAATAAATCCATCCTTTTAAATACATGGTTTACAACGTGTTTTGAACACACACACATAATAAAGCAAACCCTTGGAGAACTCTATAAAGGAATTGATGACATGTGGCAACATCCTTCATAGGAAAAATTGACATGTGACAACACCATAATAAATCCATCCTTATAAATACATGGTTTACAATGTGTTTGGAGCAAACACACACACACATATACATACAAACATAGGTGAAAAACTATTCAGCTTCCAAAGCTCCACTCAAACGTCTTCCAGTACACACACACACTTATATTTCTCCTACCACCATACCGTGTTTGTTGTTTTCAATAGTACTACTTTACCATGTTCGCAATGTTTCGTATACATTACAGTTAGGTACACATTTATTTATACACGTTGGTAGTTCAAAAATTGCAAATACTCAAAAGTAAAAATATACTTCCTCCGTGTCACAAAACATTGTCATTTTTGACTTTTCTTGATCAATGATAGTATAGTTTGACCAATGATATTTTTTAAAAACAAAATCATTTAAAATATGAAAATTATATGTAAATGTTCTTTGTTAAAAACACTCATAAAATTTTGAAGTTATAAATTTCAAGCAAATATAATAACGAAATTTATTGTCCAGAGTTTATTAGCATCGATAAAAAAAGTCAAATGCCCAAGTTTTGTTGGACGGATGGAGTAAATAACAAATACTCCCCCCGTCCCATAAAACTTGGTCTATTTAACTTTTCTTGGACAATTTAATGATAATAAACTTTGGACAATAATGTAAGTAATAATAATTATATTTACGTGAAACTTAAAACTTTTATACTTTTTGGAAATACTTTTAACATAGAACATTTTTATATAATACTTATATTTGACATAATCTCACACTAAAAATGTCACCGGTCAACAAGCCCTGCCCTGCACAGACCCAATTTGTGGTGCGCTTTGCTTTACATGGATCGGATTGGCAAAAGTGTCTAATGTCGAGCCTGAGTTTTCTACAACCCTTTCCCAATCCATCCAATATGGGTTTCGCTAGCTAGCCCGTGAACAAGTGTAAAAAAAATACAATGGAAAAATACCTTGAAAACAATTAACTTGAAGTATTTGTTCATATAGGTAAATAGTAATAAAAAGAAATACCATCAATGTAAAATACCATTAAATCATACTTGACAAATTAAATTAAAATATTTGTTCATACCAAAATACTAAGAAAACCATATGGACAAATTAAATTAAAAATATTATTAAATCATAATTATATAAACATTTGATACTATAAGATGATATCCAACAAAAGCAATCAATGTACAAAAATAAGGACATACATTAACCTTTTGAGCAAAAAAACCATTGACCTTTTGAGTATTTTTTTGTAAACCATAACTACTCATTGTTAAAATATTATAGTTAACTATAATATAAATTATAAAAGATATGCTTGAATAATTTATTTGAGTTATGATAGATAAAATAATTTAGCAAATGTTATAAAATAATAAGTATATAATTGCAAATGAAATTGACAGTAGAAGATTGATATTCATGTCAATGAAAGTTCAAATTAGAAGTTTTTATATTGGCCAACTGCAACCTGCGTGGGCCAAATTAACCGCAACCCATGAACTAATTGGGCATAATGACAGTCCTTATACACCACTAACTGGGTTGAAACGGGCTAGCTTGCGGGTTTCGTCTCATTTCAATATACAGCTCTATTCAGAGTTAACACAATTCTCTTTTAAATTCTAATTATGACAATAATCTTAACTATTTTCAAAATTTGATATTTGTAACTCAATCAAATGGAGTGTGTAATCTACGAATTCACAGAAATTTTTTATTTTCATTTCTATATGTGTCATAAGAAAACCTTAAACACATATCTACCGTGCATTGCACGGGTACACATACTAGTATTTTTATAATTTAAATGTTTCGTTCCATCTTTGAAAATGCGAAGGAAACTCAAATTATCTCAAAACTTTTGTAACTATTACCTGCATTCATATTTTTAGTCTTTATATTATAGAAGTATCAGACTTTGTAACTTTTTTTATTTCTCTAGATTTTCCCTCCTTCCGAACTGTCCTTGGTATTTTCAGGGTTCCAAGCGGGCCATTATTGAGTATACAACGAATTCCATCTAAATATATGTGCTGGTTAAGAAAAGATGCTCTATTGTTATGCGCACAGCTAAGAGTAAACTGTAAAGCATGCTTACTTGAGGGGAATGGTCAAAAGACCATTGGACCTCGTTGAATTCTTGTTTTATGGGATCTTTATCATTCACATTCAGTAACTGCAATGAACAAAGGAAAAGAAAATTTGAGCAGCTTACACATATAATCAACAGTGTGTAATTTAGTGTCATTGAAAAAACAAAGACACAAGTCTATCCATTACCCTTCAATAGTGTGTTCAATTGGAAGCACCTAATTTTAGAATTTATTTAGTTAACTTGACCAAGAGAAAGGAAGAATTTCACGCATATTTATTTCTCAATGTAAAGAATAAGTGATAGCACACCTTAATACAGGTTCTAAATTCTAAAAGGTGCAAACCTGGTACAGGTTCTAAATTCTAAAAGGTGCAATGTGGGGCGATGCTGCAAGGAACAAGCATCAAGCTTTTAAGCCTAGGTCAGTCATTTTACATTGTTTATTACTCTGTATTTTATTTGATCAATACAAACACATTAATAAAATAAATAAATACCTACCAAATATTATACGAACTTCAACATATTTATCTGTTTTCAATATAGAAAAAATTGCTAATATTTAAGACTGCAAATATATTAATACATATCATTTTTTCATGCTTAGAATCCACCTTTGGAAGTGAACTTATAAGTTTATTTGACTTTTCCCCAGCTAACTACTATGTGATGTGTTTACCACCCCGTCATGTTACATATACAAAAGGCTAAGAAGCAATCTCTTTAACCATCAATCTACATATAACCAAAGATAATTCATATGGATAACTGGACACGATCCAGAGACTACGAAGAGTATGAAAAAAAGTGAAAAAACTTATAGACTGACCAATAATTCTCCAACTTCTCTGGCAACGGCTTCACTAAACAGTTGTTCCACCAAAGATATAGTGAACTGAAAGGATGTAGCGGGACCACGGCTTGTTGTTAACTCACTGGACACTTGGATATTAGTCTTTACAGCATAGAAAGTAGGAAGCTTGTCCATAAATGCAGGATGACAAGTAACCTAACCACACAAAGCTACATACAATGTCAATTATTAGCAATATGAGAATATCTGCAGTGCACATAGGAGAAAGGTAATGAAACCAACCTGTTTCCTCCTAAGAAGACCCCAAGGCAAAAGAGTGACGGCAGGAGCAGCACATATGGCACCGTATAGCCGTTTCTCTTCAGCATGTTTGATCATTATATTCTTGAGAACTTCACTGTCTCTGAAACGCACAGAACCTGGCATTCCACCCTGGACCATTTAATGTCAAATCATTCTCAGTCTGCAACGAGAGCTAGTGTAGTACATTTAATAGAGAGATACTTGTTACGTTTGGTAGTTATTGGGCATGTTTGGCAAACAGCATTTCAGAGAGCTTATAACTTGTATAGTTCTGTTATGAATTGGACAAGCTGAAAAGCTAATTTCAGTTGTCTGGTTAACAACTTACTAAAAGAGTTTATTAGGTCCAAAAAGGTGTTTTACAAAACGCTCTGCCATCAGCTTTTTGGAAGAACTTATGAGTTACAGCTATATCTCTCACATACAGCTAGCCTTTTAACAGTTTTCTCCTACAAACCATTTACCTGATTTCTTAGGCAATACGCTGGTCAGAACAGCAAATACAATGATCTGTTCAAGACATCTAATACACACAATTAACAGTTAACAGCTACTCGACTAGCCAAAAAAATCCATAATGGGCATATTCTGCTAATTATGTGAGAAACGTGTAATGAGATCAAATAGCTGTTGTTAATAGTTGATACGTTATGCAAGTCTGAGTGCCTTCAGCTAAATAACCTCTACCAAATAACCCCAATAAGCCAGGGGAAGAAGGTCAACAACTTACTGGAAGTGCAATGAGATCAAACACTTCATTGGAACAGGCGGATATTAGGGTGTCAGCAACAAGCCTAGTGCCTCCAGAAGCTTTAACTTCCAATTGCGGCTCCACTGATGCCAAAGTCACCCCTGCACCAGCCCGCCTCAGTACATCCACCATTATTACAGCTTCCATTTCTTCTGTCCCATACCCAATTGGCACCAGCACCTACCATTTCCAAGAACAGGCGTCTGAGTACCCCCAATGTTTTTTATTTAAAAGAAATAAAAACAGCGACAGTTGTGATGGAAACCTGGAAAAGATTGAACCTTTTTCTTAGGGATGGAAGATTCCTTGGTTGGAGTTTCAATTTGCTCCAGAGTGGGGGTAGGAGTTTGGGTTTTCTTTGATTTTGATGAAGAGCGTCCTGAAGTAGGTATCTTTCGCTGCTCAGCGGCAGCGGATATGAAAGGTAGAGACTGAGAGTGTGATGTGAAGACGGGGAAGAAGAATTTGGGAGTACGAAGTGAGGGTGAAGCTGGTGATATCCAGTTCTTCATTCTTGAGACCCCTTCTGCTCCTCCTCCGTAAATGAAGAATAGGTACTGGGTTGAAGTGCTTAACTTTTAAGAGGTGGATTATTTCTTTTCATAAAAGGATTAATTAAATTAAATAAGATTGTACATACGGAGTAGATATTAAAGATAGGTGGGGCGGGTTGGGGTCAAATCCGGTAGGGAAAGCTCAAATGCTCTGTACAACTTGTGATAAGATAAAATTTCGTTAGCTTAATTGAAGAGTGGAGAATTGGGAAGAAGGTGAAAGCATCAAAATGCTGGGAATTTTAACTCGGGGAGCATCAAAATCAGTTTCAAGACGTTCTTTCCCATGGCAGAAATCAATTCCTGTGATCATTCCCCCTAGCCGAAACTTCAGCATAAGCGTCCTACCAGATACGCTAGACCGCAGCTCCGAGTTATTCACCACAAATTCCAAAGCCATGAACGATCTCGTCTCTCAGCTCAACTCTCATATCCGGAAGGTCCTCCTTTTCCTCTCTTTCTGTAGGGACTACATAAGTTGAAATCTACCGTTTTTTGCCAGCGAACTGAAAATCAATGGCCTGGAAAATGGATAGGTGACGGAAGGAGGAGGACCTGGAGCCGTCATTAGAAACCGTAGCAGGAATAAGCTTCTTCCAAGGGAGAGAATCGATCGTCTTCTCGACCCTGGTTCTTCTTTCCTAGAACTTTCTCCAGTTAATAATGTCATCTCTACTTCAATTTTTTATTTGATACCTCCTGCATTTTGTAAGCGCTAGGTAAAATATAAACAATTGGTACTGAATTCAAAAGATAAAAGATAAGTAAAGCTGTTATCCTTTTTGGTGAATCAGTGTTTATGTGAATGAATGCAGCTTGCAGGTCACGAATTATATGAAGAAAAATTACCTTCTGGTGGAATAATTACTGGAATAGGGCCTGTGAATGGAAGGCTTTGCATGTTCGTTGCAAATGACCCTACAGTCAAAGGTGGGACTTATTTCCCCATCACTGTAAAGAAACATCTTAGAGCACAAGAAATTGCTGCACAATGCAAACTACCCTGTCTGTATCTTGTTGACAGTGGAGGGGCTTTCCTTCCTAAACAAGCTGAGGTTTTTCCGGACAAGGAGAATTTTGGCAGAATATTTTACAACCAGGCAGTGATGTCATCTGAAGGTATTCCTCAGATTGCATTGGTTTTAGGCTCTTGTACAGCTGGTGGAGCTTATATACCTGCAATGGCTGATGAAAGTGTTATGGTCAAAGGAAATGGTACCATATTTCTTGCTGGACCGCCTCTTGTTAAGGTCTGTTTAGTGCACTCTAACTAACAAAAAATGAAAAAATAAAAATAAAAAGGCAGTGCGTAATATAACATTTTTTACTGCTGGAGTTTTTTTAATCTTTATGAAATACTCTACATCTAAAAGGAGAGCTTTGATACAGGCTGCAACTGGAGAAATAGTTTCAGCCGAAGACCTTGGCGGTGCAAATGTTCATTGTAAAACGTCCGGTGTTTCCGACTACTTTGCCCATGGTATATACATCCACTTTCAATGAATATGTGGTCCATATTCTTAGTGAATATTTAGATCCCAGAAAAATTATAGGGAAAGGGAGTAAAATGCTAATTAAAGCTATTTTCTTAGGTTTGGATTTACATTGAAAAAGAAAGGGAAACTTAATGTGATTAGTAATCTGTATGTTTTTTTGAATTTGACTTATGTTTAGAGATTATTTAGTGTGTGTATTATAGAAATAAAAAATGAGTTAGAACAAATATCTAAATACATTTTTATCAAGTATGAGTCTGTTTTGAATTTCCCTCCCAAATTTTCTTGCATTCCAACTTTTTTCCCTCTATCTCTCTTCTTATTTTCTTTCCCTTGTATTTTCCATGTTCCAAACATAGCCTTATGCCTAGATGAAAAGTTAGTCCTGTTCGATGTTGAATCAATTATAAACATACTTTCTTATTGTTTCATATGGCAATGACTTTATGACTATCTTTTTTAGATGAACTCCATGCACTTGTTATTGGGAGGAACATTGTCAAGAATCTGCACATGGCGGGAGGCCAACAAAAGGGCCAAACTTCAACAACCCCAACTGATTTCAGAGAGCCATTGTATGATGTGCAAGAACTTCGTTCCATTGCACCAACAAACCTCAAACAGTCTTTTGACACCCGATCAGCAATCGCTCGCATAGTTGATGGAAGTGAATTCGATGAATTCAAAAAGCTATATGGCACTGTCAGGCCTTTCAAATGCTTTCCTACACTTTCTTTAAAAAAATACATTTCAATCTTTTTGTTCTCAATGACTTGCATTCTGAAAAAATTTCTCCCTCTGTACAGACACTTGTAACAGGTTTTGGGCGAATTTATGGCAATCCGGTGGGAATCATTGGAAACAATGGGATATTGTTTAGTGAGTCTGCTTTAAAAGGAGCTCATTTTATTGAACTTTGCTGTCAGCGTAACATTCCTTTGATCTTTCTTCAGAATATTACGGGATTTATGGTGAGCCTCTTTTATTTTATGTACCTCTCAAGTAGGCAACTTACAGTCTCTGAGTAAAAAAAGAGTAATTTGCTGCCTCTGAGGTCCTTGTATGGCAAGGGCTTTTAAAAATTAAAAATTCTTTCGACACTAAAACAGTTTTCCTATTGTGAAAAGCCGTTTTTTATTCAGAAAGCATGTTGCCGATGTAACTGGAAGTGCTTTTGGAAAGCACATTTTTTATTGCTTTTAACTTTCCCGACACAATTTTGGACAAATTTCAAATAATTATTATACGGAGTATTATCCAAAGAATGTCACTTTGCGGATCACCTTTGAAAAGTATGCCTAAAAACAAATCTAGTTGATATCTACTCCCTTTTACCAAACAGACTTTTGAAAATGCTCTCTGAAAATGATTTTTTTAGCAAACTGAAATCCATGCACTCAAAGACTGTAAGTGGATGAGACAAACTAATATATACATACAAAGTACAATATAGTTCACGCGGAGTTTGATAGCTTCTGCTACAGCACAATCCCACAATACTTTGTACTCCCTCCGTCCCACTTAAAGGTTCCCACGCGGTTTACGATGTTTGACTGACCATAAAGTTAATTGATCCCTGTCATTAATAAGATTATTTTTAGTAAATAAAATTTGCATATTCAGAAACTACATTAAAAGTTTTATAATGCCTGATCAAGAAAAATTAAATTTGATAAAAGTTGGATATATAAAGTAAAAGATTAAGAACAATTCACGTTGACTGGAGAATAGTGGACGGGAACCTTTAAATGGGACGGGGGGAGTAATACTGATGACATCAGACCTTTGCTCGGGAAATAATTCTTTGTCTATACTCTTCTGACATGTATTTCCCATTTCTGATTTTCCCCCTCTTCTTTTACCTATAGTATAAGTATAGCTTGGTTAGGTTGGCTCTAAATCATCACTAATTTCTTTTTGTTAGCCTCTACTACTTTAAATATCACCAAGAAAGTGATGATTCTAATAAACTTTGTTAGGTTGGCTCTAAATCAGAGGCAAATGGTATAGCAAAAGCTGGAGCCAAAGTGGTGATGGCAGTTTCTTGTGCAAAGGTAGTCTTTATGTTTCAGATAGTTTTATTTTCCTTGATCTTGAATTCCCGTTTGTCAGTTTCCTCTCTGAAGCTCTCTCATACTATGTCAATGATGACTTCAGTTCAACTATTATCTTTCCGTTTAGTTGATCTTGAATTTCTGATTGCCGGTGCTACTCTCTGAAGCTTTCTCTTACTATGTCAATGATGACTTCAGTTCAACTATTAGCTTTCCATTTAGTTGATCTAATAAAAGAAATTGCACCTCAGAGGTCATAATATCTTTAATTGTATGCAATTTTTTGTTGCATCAGGTCCCTAAAATAACAGTGGTTGTTGGGGGAAGCTTCGGGGCTGGAAATTATGCAATGTGTGGACGTGCCTACAGTCCAGATTTTATGTTCCTATGGCCAAACGCTAGAATATCAGTCATGGGAGGTGCTCAGGTACCTCTTCAACATCATATCCTTCATTAGCAATAACCTTCAGAATATTGACTACTTCTGGTCACCATTTTCATGTCCAAATCTGTCGCATTACGAACTTATTTCAGTGACTGGAGCTGACTTAAACAAATCAGCATATGAATATTAATAAAATACATATAGGGTATCAAACCAGAACATATCAGTTTAGACTAGACAAGTTTTAAACAAACAAAATCAGTTCATATCGGACCGGAAAATTCTCGTCCCTCGGTTTTTAAGTTGTTTTGACTTTGGGTCTATAATGTGTGGTGGAAAAGTAGATAACAAGAAAAAAATGAATGTGTGTTGTAAATACATGTTTATATATACTGTTATGTGTCAATGTAGTATAGTAGACATGTCTTTTTAGTGTTCACAGCCTTTTTCCATCTCAACTACGGTCATGTTTGGAAATTAGTTTGCACTGGTAATTAGCAGTTTGGAATTCGCTATTTGGATTTGTGTCATGTTGATTGACTTTTTGTTTAAAGAAGTTTGTGATAGTAATCAGGTGTTTAAATGTGTCAAATAACGTAAAATGCCACGGGCAGAAGCGCAATAGTATAGGAAGCACTTGTTAAAGGAAACAAGTTGATACTCCGTAATATAAAGCACTCTCAAAAAGCTGGTTCTATGTCAAGCTTTGAATAATAGCTTTTCTATAGGTACTTTAGGTAAGTACCAAACATTAAAAGTAATTTTTTTTTTGTAAACAAACAGCTGATTAAGACTTAATGATGGCTTCAAAGACCGGTAACTGTAATGGCGTAAACGAAAAAAAACAGAGAGCAGATATTGGGAGCATCCCATTTTTCATTATATTACTTCAAGTAGTAAAAGATAACAAAGCTGGAAAGTATATAAAGGCATTACATCAGTTTCTAGCCACTACTCCTATTATTACTCCATGAACCTATCAATACGGAAGAAACTTTCAAATGTGAAACTGCACAACATGACCCACGCACATGATAAAAAACAAACTATTTTTTTAATGATAAAAATAACTAATTAATAAATAAGTGAACCAAATAATTACTAACTAAATTTAAGATTATTCCAACACTTAACACGCCTAGAGCTCTGTCAAACAGACACTTCACCAAACACGGCCTAAACTTTTAAAACTTCTCTCGTTAGGGTTCGCTATATGTAATATTATTACTCCTCCGTGGTTTTTGTTTTAACACGGCCAACACGGGTGTCCAAGCCCCATAATCCTGTGAGCTTTGAAGTTAACGACCAAATAAGGCTCTAGTGAGTTCATCCCAGTTAACAAACCCACAAAGTTTCTTTTAACCTCCCTTAATGCTAGTTTCACTGCCTGCAATACAACTTGCCTGCTATTGTGTTTTTCTTATGAAATTGCATTTTCTAGATAGAAAATTTGTATGGTATCCTTAGTGTACCATATCTTGTCAATATGAACCAATTAGTATATTACAATTGGGTAATTCAAATGTAAGCAGATGATGAAATGGTGATGTGGACCAATGATGTGCATTTTAGGTATGGTAGATTCACTCTTAGTGGGTTCCGTAGCATTCACATTTCTAGATATATTTTGTTTATTACATCATCTATTTAAAAAAAAATACCTTTAAGTTTAAGAAAGTATTTTTAAATATGCAACTATCAAAACTTTATTTCTTGTCTGTGTTATTAGGCTGCTGGTGTACTCTCTGGGATAGAAAAGGCCAACAAGAAGAGGCAGGGAATTGAGGTAAAATACGATACATAATATTCTTCTTTTGCACAATAATAAACCGTCAGCAGAGAATTCAGGCAAAAAAATATGCATGCAGTGGGGGAAGGAAGAAGAGGAAAGGTACAAGGCAGAGGTTGAACAGAAATATGAGAGAGAAGGTGACCCCTACTACTCCACAGCCAGACTGTGGGATGATGGCGTGATTGATCCCGCTGACACTAGAAGAATCCTAGGTCTTTCCCTCTCTGCAACTTTGAACCGCGGCGGGCATCCTCAGACGACCAAATTTGGTGTCTTTAGAATGTGATGTGATGAACTGATGATATATGCATATCCAGATCTCATCATAAACAAAATATTTAAAAAAACAAAAAAAATGTTTATTTTCTTGTGAACTTGTGACAAAGAATAGTGTTGAGGAAGCAGTCCAACTTAACTAGTTGCCGACTTACTCTCCCATATGGGAGGTCTTGAGCTTGAAATTCCATGGAAGCATTTTATCTCTATTTATCTCAGGCCTCACATAGTCACATCCCCCTCTCCCGAGACCCCGACCCCTAGGGTTATAAAAATAAAAATACTCCCTCCGTCCTAGAGGTGGACTCGGGCCGGGTGGCCCGACCCGGAACCGGCCCGGTGGCCCGGCAGAGGACCGGTCCGGGTAGGCCTGGCCCGGTGGTTTTACGGTGCGGGCTCGGGTCCACCAAATGATGAACCGGCCGGGCCAGGCCGGGCCCAGTTTCGGGCCTTTTTTGTTTGTTTTTGCAATTTTTTTATTTTTCAGGGTTGGGCTGGGTGTTTTGGGCCATTTGGGGTGGTGAGGGGGGGGGGGTGTTAGGGGATTAATTAGAAAAAGAAAAAAAAGGAAGTGGCCCGAGGCCCGGACCCGGATCGGACCCGATGGCTACCCGGGCGGCCGGGCCGGTCCCAGGCCCAACTATTCTGAACCGGCAGCCCGCCCGGGCTTAGGCTCGGCCCGAGTCCACCTCTACTCCATCCCGAAATAAATGTCCTGCTTTCCTTTTCGGTCTGTCCCAAAATAATTGTCTTGTTTCATCTTTTGGCAATAATGGACGGCTTATATCAATTCACCTTTTTCTACTCAAATCTCAACCACAACTTTTACCTTTTCAACCACTTTCTTAAAACTTGTGCAAATGCAAAAAAGACAATTAATACGGGACGGAGGGAGTATTAAAGAATTTGTGTTGCGTATACTGCAATTTGTTTGTTAAGCGCTTGCTGGGTACGTGCTCATGTAGGTTTTTCATTTTTCGTTGTATTATTTTTGTTGATCATCCACATTAACGTTCTTCATTCTTCGGCTCTTGCGTGATACAAGTCAGGTTGTTTTAGCTAGAATAGGTAGAACAAAACAACGAGAACTTGCAGAATTCAGTTTACAGATATGGGGGGAAAAAGGAAGAACAATGATGAAGAAGATGATTATCATTCGTATATTCTCCATTTTGCACATTACATTCGGTATATAACATGGTCAAAGTCTAAGAAGTTAGCTAACTACCAACGACTTCGAATTAACTCTTGACACGTGTCCTTTTCTTATTAGGCTATATACAATATGCAGCTAACTTCCTCTCCGTTTAAACTGAGCTGAGCTGGCTTCTTTATTAAACTGTATCAATACTCCCTCCTTCAAAAAATGACTTGTCCTCAAGTCACCTTATTATAGAAACTAGGATATAAAGCCTCGATAGCATCTGACCATTCCCAGGTTGCATCCTCCTTCCTCTGCCCTTTCCATTGGATTAGAAATCTCACCCTAGCTGCATTGCCATGTTTTACCAACTGCTTCTCCAAGACAGCCACAGGTTCCACCACCATTTCCTTGGGTAATCCTTGTAGCCATGCTGGTATATGAGGTTTATCAGGTAGCTGTCCCCTGAATTCTATTAATTGAGACACATGAAAGGTGTTATGAATTTTAGCTTCAGCTGGCAAGATCAGTTGATAAGCCACTTTACCCACCATTTTGCTTATTTGAAAGGGATCATAGAACTTTGGGGATAGTTTCTCATTGGTCCTTATTTCTACTGAGTTCTGCCCATAAGCTTGTAGTTTGAGCCACACCCAATCACCCAACTCAAACTTCCTCTCAGATCTCTTTATCAGCTTGCATCTTCATCCGATTTTGTGCCTTCTCCAGCTGAAACTTAAGCATTTTAATCACAGCCTCTCTATGCTGTAATGATCTCTACACAACCTCAACTTTAGTTTCACCTGCTAAATAAGGTAAGTGCAAAGGTGGAGTTTGGTTATACACTGCTTCATATGGAGTCATCTGAATAGATGAATGGAAGGAAGTGTTATCCAACCACTCAGTTAGTGGTAACCACTTGCATCATTCAGTAGGTTTCTCATTACACATGCACCTTAAGTAATTTTCAAGACACCTATTCACAACTTCAGTTTGACCATCTGTTTGTGGATGGAAGGAAGTAGACAATAATAAATCTACTCCTTGTATACTGAAAAGGGTAATCCAAAATGTACTGAGAAATATGGAACCCCTATCACTCACAATAGTTCTAGGTCAGCCATGCAGTTTAAATACATTATCAAGGTACATCTGAGCCACTTCAACTGTTGAAAAGGGGTGTTTCAGAGCCATAAAATGAGCATATTTGCTCATTCTATCAACAACTACAAAGATGACATCTTTACCACACGATTTAGGCAACCCTTCAACAAAATCCATAGATATATCCATCCACACATCCTGAGGAATTGGGAGAGGCTGCAGCTTCCCAGGATAAGCTGCATTGTCATACTTGCAAGCTTGGCATACTGCACAATCCCTTAAAAATGCATGAACATACTTATTGATTCCTTTCCAATAAAATAATTGGCGAATCTTTTGAATAGTGGCATCTCTCCCTGAATGCCCCCATAGCTGAACTGTGTGCCCACTGTAATATCTTCTTCCTCACTGAGTCATCTTTTGCTATAACAATTCTTCCTTTCTTCCTTATTATCACATCCACTAAGTTATATGATTCATGCTGCATGTTAGGACTAACTTTCAACTTCACCATCAATTCCTGCAACCATTCATCCCCTTGATAACCTTCTTTGATCAACTCCAGTAAATCTGATTTAATAGAAGATACTGCCAAGCATAAGAGTTCAGCTCCTGTTACTCTTGAAAGAGCATCAGCCACCTTATTTTCTACTCCACTTTTGTATTGGATTTCATATCTAAAACCCATTAGTTTGGACAACCAGAATTGTTGGAATGGGGTAGATACTTTTTGCTCCAGCAACCACTTCAAACTTTTTTGATCAGTTTTAATAACAAATGTCTGACCAAACAGATATTCTTCCCATTTGTTCACTACAAACATCAATGCTAACAACTCCTTCTCATACACTGATAACTTCTGCCATCTAACTCCCAAAGATCTGTTGATGAAAGCCAAAGGATGCCCCTCCTGCATTAGTACAACCCCTATACCATTGTTGGAAGCATTAGTTTCCACTATAAACTGCTTGTTAAAGTTGAGCAAAGCCAACACTGGGGCAGTAGTCAAAGCCCTCTTGAGTTCCTCAAATGCCTTAGTTGCTTCATTAGTCCACTGATATGGACCCTTCCTTAACAATTCAGTAAGTGGCTTAGAAATCACTGCATAGCCTCTGATGAACCTCCTATAATAATCAGCCAAGCCTAGAAAACTCCTGAGTTGCTTTAGAGAAGCTGGAATAGGCCATTTGATTATTGATTCAATCTTTTTAGGATCCGTTTCTACTCCCACACCAGATATATAGTACCCCAAATACTCCACTTTTTTTTTATTCCAAAAGCACATTTTCTCATTTTAGCATATAAATTGTGTTGCCTCAATACTTCAAAGACCTGCTGCAAATGAACTTTATGTGTTTCTAGGCTAGGACTATACACCAGAATATCATCAAAGAATATAAGTACAAACTTCCTCAAGAATTCTCTGAATATATGGTTCATAAAGGTCTGGAAAGTGGCTGGTGCATTAGTCAACGCAAAATGCATGACTAAAAACTCAAAATGACCACAATGAGTTTTAAATGCTGTTTTAAAAACATCATCCTTATGCACTCTCAACTGATGATAACCAGCTCTCAAGTCAATTTTTGAAAAGATCTGTGCTCCTGATAACTCATCGATTAGTTCCTCTACCACATGAATAGGAAATTTGTCTTTGATAGTCTGGTTATTCAAAGCTCTGTAATCAGTACACATTCTCTAGTCTCCATCTTTTCTCCCTACTAGCACCATTGGTGAAGCATAGGGTGAAGCATTTGGTCGAATGGCATCCTTCTCCAGTAACTCTTTTACCTTCTCCTCAATTATATCTTTCTGTTTCAAAGGATACCTATAAGGTCTCACATTCACAGGTTGGGATCCTTCTTTTAGAGGAATTCCGTGGTCAAAAACTCCTCAATTATTCTTCCTTTTCCACATATCCATTCAGCCTCATAGTTCTGAAATCTGAGTAACCATTCATGGCATGAAATGATATTAATGGCTCCTCTTCATGCATACTGAACTCACTGATGTTTTCTTGTAGCTGCCTATCCTCACTTCCTTCATTTATTTCTTCTTCAGTCCCTCCCATAATTTCAACTAAAAATAGTTGTGTACCCTTATGATTACACACATGTTCTCTACTGTAGGGTTGATCACAATAATAACATAGCCCTTTTTCTCTTTTCTCAGCTCTTTCAATTGCAGATACAAATTTCCTTGTGGTCGGTATGACAGTAGTTTTGCTTGGATTATTGGGAGGTCTAACATTCTGAACTGGGGTAGGTAGAATAAGCTTATTTACAATCATTTTCTGTGAACTTCCCAATTTGGCCTGAGTAGTTATAGCCTCAAAGGTATCATCTTGCAACCTTGCAAATTCAATGGCTTCTGTCATACTCTTGGGGTTAAAGGCCTTAACAAATGACTTGAGAGTGGGTTTTAAAGCAGCCAAGAAACAATCTAAGAAGTAATTAGATGGCAATTTGGGGTTTCTTTGTAACATAGCAACCTTCAAACTTTCAAATTCATCAATAAAAGCTTCTAATGACCCCAGTTGTCTTAGATTGTTAAATTTTTCAACTACTTTATTGTTCAAATTATCATTGAACCTAGCAGTCAAGTCATATGTAAACTGTTTCCACTTCACTTTTTTCTTAGATGTCACATAATTTCCAAACCAACCTGCAGCTCTCCCTTCTAGATATAGAGAAGTTAGATTAACTCTCTTATTATCAGGAATATTGCAAAGCTTAAAGTACCTTTCACATTTCTGCAGCCATAGCTTTGCATTTTGCCCTTCAAATGTTGGAAATTCTACTTTAGGGCTAAATCTGAACGTATGTTGACCAACTGATGGAGATTTGCTACTTGTACCTTCCTCCTCCTCCTCAGATGAAGTTTCTTCCTCCTCGCTTACTTCATGATCAACATCAGAATCTACTTCACGGATAATCTTCTTATCCTTCTGAATTTCTACCACTTTCTTCA